TTTTAGTCAGCATTAAAAACAAAGTTTGATCCCGAAACAAAAGATTCACTAATATCTCTCTGCAAATGTACTGTACTAAAAAAATGCAGTGGTATCCTTTTTTAATGCTAAGTGAAAAGCTTTTCAAAAATATGATCCCGATATCTGATTTTTGTTATGCAACATCAGCAGGATCATTTTCTTTTCCGTCTACCTTGTCATGATTTTATGGTCTTTAACTGAAATGTGTTACTTTTCATCTACTAAATGCTGATTTGTTCTTACTGACATTAGCAGAAATTGAATGGTGTGAAAGGAAGTACAAACCTGTACCTTTGGTAAAAGTTGCAGTATTTCATATTTTGCTCTTTCTATATAAACATGAATTCATCTTACTAGTACCATGTTCCCAGTTTGTTACAATGAATCTGGATAGGTTGAATATAGAAGGAACTTTTGATGTGCTTAGCTCATAGCTAGTCACAGATTATGTAGGCCTCTCCAGTTTGCAAAAATGATTTCAACTAAATTACAGGCATAATAGAATTGATTTTCTAAACTGAAGTGATTTGCTAGCCTGTGACTTTTAGCATTAATGACCTAAAGTACATGTGAAATATTTTTCCACAAATAAATAGCCATTGAACCTAATTTTGCAAGCATTTCCATCATTCTTTAGTGCTAGTCCCAGGATGCAAGGAGTCCATGCAAATTGTCTAGGATTCAGGATCTGTAAGATAGGGTTACCATACATCCGGATTTTCCCGGACATGTCCGGCTTTTGGGGCCTCAAATCCCCATCCGGGAGGAAATCCCAAAAAGCCGGACATGTCCGGGAAAATAGGGAGCAAAGGGCCGGCGGTGCTCGGCCGGGGGCCAGGGCCGCCTCCTCGCGCCCCCCAGCCTCAGCTTACCTGCTGCCTGCCTGCTTCAGGCTTCCCCCGAATCAAATGTTCGCGGGAAGCAGCGGAGTTGGGGCGGGGCCAGGGAAGGGGCGGGGCTAGGGTCGAGTTGGGGCGGGGCCGGGGCCCGTGGAGTGTCCTCTTTTTGGACACTTAAAATATGGTAACCCTACTGTATGAGAGGAAATCATCAAATTTCTTATTTAATACCCATTGACGTTAATGAAAGGACTTCAGTTCCCAAGTGCAGCAAAAAAATAAACTGGTTAAATTTTTACCAAATTTAGTTGGATGGAGGGGAGTTAGCAGGCTTTTGACAGAAAAAGTAAACTGAAAGCAAAGACAGCAGCTCTAGTTATACAAATATAGTGTAATCATGTAATCTCCTTGAATGGAAGGCCCCCCCTTTGGTTTCAATGGGAGGTGCATATATGGAAGGACAGTAAAATACTACTAATTAAAGGTATATTTTATAGCAGTTGTGTTGACTTGAAATCAGGAAAACCTAAGTGCTTTGACTCAATTCATCCTAAGAGTAACAACCTCTGAAGTTATTGGAGTTATACCAGGAAATAATTTGGTCTTGGATGCAAACCTGAAATAAGAGAAGACATACAAATGTAGATGGAGCAGAAAAAGGATCTGTATTTATGACAGAATAATAGACTACATAAGGGAAAATCCGGACCCTTCTTCCATGACTGTAGTTAGTCTACTACAATGGAACTGGTACTATTCTGCTATGGGAGGATGGAGGTGGGAAGATTTGAGGTGTCCACACATTGGTCAGACTCTGGTTATTTGGGCTTGGTGCAGGGGACAAGTTTTATCCTACATAAAATGATGTGATGCATTAGGGGAAAAGTCACCTTTCAAATCGTTAGACTGGATTAAGATTTAAATATTGTCCTCTCTGCAGGCACAGACCTTTCATTGACTTCACTGGGGATTCCATACATAAGAGGGAGAGCAGAACATTGAAGTCAAAATCCAATTTCCATATCAGAAAGAATTCTCTTCTTAGAGTCAAACCTAGAAAACTGTGGTAAGATTTCAAAGGCATTACCACCTGTCACTCACTAGACATTCTGCTGACACATCCCATTTAGTGCTTTTCTCCATAAAGGTAATTAAATATGCCCTTTATACACAACAAACAAACAAACAAACAAACAAACAAACAAACAAACAAACAAACAAACAAACAAACAAACAATGAAACCTTCAGAAGTGTTGAGAAGCGAGGCACAACACAGGAGAAAATACTGGGAGGGTTTTTCCTCATTATTTTATCCATCACTTTAGTTGCCCAACAAGCAGAGCCCATAAAAACTCGAAGGTGTGAAGCATCCCTGGATCCCACCATTTCATGTTGGCTATTTTTATGCTGTTTTCCGCAGAATAGCAGCTTTCATTTCACAAACAAGATTTTTTTTTAAAGTTAGAAGTGCAACTGGGGCTCCTACTGACATCAGGCCCCCATCTTATTAGACAAATTCTCTGCCCTTTGCCATTTAAACAGTTGAGGTAGAAAAAGCGGTTTTACATCTGGGAAATGGAAACAGCATGGAGAAGTGAGCTGTAGTCCACGAAAGCTTATGCTCTAATAAATTTGTTAGTCTCTAAGGTGCCACAAGTACTCCTGTTCTTTTTGCGGATACAGACTAACACGGCTGCTACTCTGAAACCTAGCATGGAGAAGGTAAGGGACTTGCCCAGGATCACACCTACAGTTTGTGGCAGGGCTGGGATCTCCTGAGTCCCAGTCCAGTGTCTTAATCACAAATCCACCCTTCCTCTTGTTCATAGCTAGTTATTTCCCTTACAGAAATAACCTCCCATTGCTCTGAAAACCAAACTAGTAGAATAGCAGATCCAATACACAATAGCAGCAACAAACAAATGCACCATAACCCTTTCCTCTTTGCATGAGGTTTTAAACTTTCGGTCAGTGGTGGGCATTTGCCAGTAAATGGCATTAACTACACAAGGAAGTTTAAAAAAAAATTAGCTGCAATTGAACTGACCAACAAGCAACAAAAGCACAGTTTCACTGTCAAGAGCTGCAGATCTATTGCTGTCAACTGGAAGGAAGTTGTCAGAATGTCCTTTGAAAAACAGAGATGTCATGTCTGGAGACAAAGAAGTATTTCAAAATGAATAATTTAATCAAGGAATATCACTTCTTTCTGTTCGTACATTGTCCACTATGATGAATTACTTGAAGTTATTATAAACAATTTCTGCAAGTACTACTTGGTCTGGAGGATGCTTACAAAATATATTGCAACTATTTGATCAAAAAAATTCCATATGCGAGTTGTGTAGGTTTATTTTATTTAGAGAACTAGGTCACAGGTAACTTTAGACATGTAAGAGGAAAGTTTCACATTAATCATCTTAACACTGAAGAAAATTAGTATAAATGTATCTTCACACGTGCAAATTATCACCTTTCGCTAGACATGATATTTCTGCCAGAGAAAGCAGTGTTAATAGAAAGATCTGTTATTCATGCCCCCTTCCTTCTCCAACCTCAGTCCAACCAGGTTTTATTTCATTGCCCAGTCTTACCTTACATTAGATCTTGGAGGTGGGGAGGGAAATAATCTCAGTGGAATTTACTACCAGTTTTTGTAGGTCTGATTTTGCTGCTGTTGCACAGCATATTAGAAACAAAAATCTGTCTATCAAGATAGTAAATGTTTTGAATGTATGCATTTGTGGTTGTTAGATCAACACATTTATTCTGTCTTTAAAACATTTGTATTTTACATAGTTCCCTTACTAGGGTGACATTTTTCATTACCCTTATCTCCTCTGAAGATATATTCTCTTTTGATCCCCATTTTTATTTTGTAGTTTAAAAGGGAGTTTTGTCATGTTAAATGATTCCTTTTGTCATTTGAGGCTCCTATGCCCATTCCCTTTGAGTAGGTTAAGCCTTGGCAATAGATAGATAAGCGTTTAGGGAACAACAGTAATGTGCCTATTGTTAGTTGCAGCAACATGAGAAATGTGTCATTTCTTCATGCTTTTAACTCTCAGCTCCCAGCACTCAATACTTTTCACCGTTTGTCTGTCTGAAGCAAGTCTGCCTTTCACTGAATTTTGGATTAAGGGATTCATTCAATAGATTTCTATGCAATCAAAATTACCCTCTCTGAAATTCCAAGTTTTAAAGAAATAAGCCTGTTAAAAATCCCTGAAATAGCTTCTATTAAAATAAATATGGGCCAGATTCTACAATCCAACCAAACTGCACATAGTACAGGTTGGAGGCTGGAGTGATACAAGGGTGCTGTCAAGCTCAGTGCAGGGATGGTCCTCCAGCATAAATTATAGTAGCCACAGGATGTTCTAACTCATGCCAGCTGCTAGTGTCCCTATTTATTACCAGGTGCCCCAAACCATACTCAGGTATTTGCAAAGCATAGGAACATTCAAGCCACAGCCCTTTTCTGCCAGCCACATCCCTTACGCTGCTTCCCTCAGTTTTGTCAGCATAAGAAATTTCCATTGTCTCCATGTTTTTGGAGGATCCTTTTTGCACTAAGGATATACTCACAGGGCTGGATATGCCTGGCCCTATCAGCAGAATCTGTACTGCACCAGAGAATTTGGCCCCTGATTTTCCAAAGTTGAAAGTTTATACACCTTACATATATTTAACCCAAAGAACTAATGGTATAAAATGGTCATTAGCAGAGAGAGCTAAAGCTGACCCGATTGCATTGCATCTAGAGTTTAGTTGACATTTTTCAGAACAGCATTTTTAAGAATTTCCATTTGTACAGTACATTTGCTAATCCTCCTGTATTTCCTGGTCAAGGAAATGTACCATGCCCTTTTTTCATTATTATTATTTTTTTAAATATATATAGCATGCAATTTTAAGTAATCCAGTGGCATCGCTGAAATATTTTGCAGCCTCACAAGTTAGTTTTTTTTCCAGTAAGAACTGATTTTTGTCAAACAGTGCTTGGTGGCAGAACACAATGAGGAATTTATGCAGAATGTGAGACAAACTGGTCTTGGATTATGCAAAAAGCAACTTTTGCGAGCTCAAAAAACAGCAACTGTAATTAAAAACATCAAATATCAAGACGTGTTTCTTACCTTTGGAATTTGCAGACATCCTGAACAAGCAGAAAATGTAGAGTTTTCCTTAAGTATAATGTATAGAAATCCAGCTGCTTTGTACCCGGGAGATAAGGTTCACAGGCATTTACCCAATACCAGTGTGGTTTCCATAGGTAGGGCACTTGTATTCCATTTCACTCCCTTTGAAGCACAGGATGTTGTTTGAATGCAAATTCCTTCCCAGGACAAATAGAATGTTATTGTCACTGAGTGATGAACCTGGGTCGAGGGGGTACCATTAGTAACCTACACTCTATTTTCCTGAGTGTAGTCCATGAAACAATGAACCTAAAAGGGAGATTGTAATTTAAAATTAGAACCATTTAGTGCCTGCTCCATTCTTAGTATGCCATCATCATGAAAACTTTTCCCACAGCTTGCAGAAGGAAATTTTAAAGGCCCAGATTTTCAAGAAGCCTAAGTCAGGGTCTTAACTGTGATCAGATTTTCAAGTGTTTAAGAGCTCCTAGTGAGGTCAACCAAGAGCTGTTGTGAGATCACTAAAGTAGATCACTACTTCTGAAAATCAGGCTACTTTTTGAGGTGTCCAACTACAAATTGAGAAGTCTTAGCATGGCTTATACTAACTTTCAGATGTTATGGAAAACCATAGTCTAAATATTTTTAAATTGTGAGATTTTCCTGGCAATGACCATAATTAATACATCTACCACAGAAGAGCGGAAAGAGAATCAAGATGCTTGCTTACATTGGGCTAGATTGTGCCTTGTAGTAAAGCTGTGAACCAAGGGGGCAGTGCAGAGGCATTCCAACCCCAGGAGAATCCCCAGGAAATATTGTGTCTTGATGGGGAGTAATTTGCTTCTACCTTTACACCTTCTCCTACTACATGGCCATCTAGCTCCAGTGGCTGATAAGAGAGGTGACAGAACCAAGGTTCTATCTTACTCCCAATCCACCCCATCCCTTCCTGCCTACTTGCTCAAGAGGGAGGAAAATGGGAAAGTTGTGTGTGAAGAGAGGATCTCTGGCACAGCCCCTCTGCTTTTCCAAATGCCCAGAGCCACAATCTAAAGTAGATTTTGTCCAGTGGGGAGAAAATGGGGTAGGGAAACAGTTCTGCCCCTTATGGCTAGATTAATCATCCTAATTTAGAAGAGACTGTACCTTGAAGATCACTGACATTGTTTAAGATGCTTATCAGGGTATAAACATGACATGATTTCTATCAAACCACCAAAATCAGCATCCTCTCCTGACTAAAAATGATTGCGTACTGCAAATGAAAGATATGGCCAATAAAAAGAACTGATAAAAATTAAACCCTTTGCTGTCTGTTTTAAGTCGCTAACGTTTAAAATAAATTGCTGTTTTCAGTACAGTAAATCACGAGGGTTGCTTTAAAGAAATTTAGTTTTTGGTATATCACAGCAGCTGCCAATTGTAGACTACTTACTATAAATAACAAACTTTCAATTTTACTATGCAATAAATATAAACACTGAAACTACATTTTCCATGCATTTTAACTAAGTAATGCCATACATCAGTCAGAGTAGAATCATCTACAGAAAAATCCAACCCTTTTAAGAAATGCAGAATGTGTAAAAGTCCAGAAACAATTCCATTTATTGCTAAAAATACTTCCTCTCAACCTATTTGTGCAGATCTGAGTTCAGATTTCTTTGTCTCCCCTTTCTCTCTCCTTTGTCCTGGACTACTATACTCAGACCCTGGCAGATACTGTAAAGTAAAGGAGGAACATATTTTTGTTCTGTTTTGTTTTTTAAACCAGGCCACTAACCACCCTTATATTGGTGTAAATTTGGCAAATCCGTTAAACCTAAATTTACGTTAACAACCCATTTATTTTTATTTTTATTTTTTTAAAACAGACCTGATAATGTTCAGGTCTGAATATTACAGTGCTCTTTGCCTCAGCCTACACAATCCACTATGGTGGTGCAAGTTGCAAGCATGAATCAGTGACAGAATTGCTTCAGATCATATGCTATTCATTGATAAAAGGTTTACAGTTTACTTTTTAAAAAAATGAAATTCTTTTTCTAGCTGAACTGTTCTTCATCTCTGCATTCATCTGCACTAATTGCCCTTTCTTATTGCTGCTTTTTGACTTTTACTAGTGGCTTTGATTTCTAGAACAATCTTTTAGAAACAGCTCCAGCAACTAATCATTAGTCTGATTTTCTAAGAGGGGCATTCTGACTTTTAAAAATAAGTCTTTCTTGCCATGCAGAAACTGCTTAATGTTTCCCTCTCAAAAAGATGGTTACTAAAAAGCAAGATGGTTATATAAAGTCAACTATATAGAAGACAGGGGTCAAAAATGAAATAGTTACAATACACTGTTCAGGAGAGATGGTTTAAAAATATGGGGTAGCGGGGTGACAAGGAGTTGCTTACAACAGTGGTTCTCAACCAGGAGTCCAGGGCCCACTGGGGGGCTGCGAGCAGGTTTCAGGGGGTCCACCAAGCAGGGCTGGCATTAGACTTGCTGAGGCCCAGGGCAGAAAGCTGAAGCCCCACCTCCCGGGGCTAAAGTCCAGGGCTCCAAGCCAAAGCCTGAGCAACTTAGCTTTGCAGGTCCCCTTGAGGCATGAGGCCCCAAGCAACTGCCCTGCTTGCTAGCCCCTAATCCTGGCCCTTGCTTTTATATGCAGAAAAACAGTTGTTGTGGCACAGGTGGGCCCTGAAGTTTTTATACCATGCGGGTGGGGGGGGGGGGGGGGCTTCAAAAAGAAAAGGGCTGAGAACCCCTTCCCTACAAGACCATTCAGTTTTCGACCAGCTACTATAAAATCCATGATTCAGGTGGCCTGTACTCCTACGCCAACTGAAGTGGGAGAAAGAGGGAGGTAACACGTCTAAGAACGCCAATGACTAATGTCTCATTCTTTACCAACGGATCAATTTAGCCCTGATACCGCTAAGAAGGGCTAACTGGAGCTCATTATTTACCAGCTAGTGTAATGAACATTTAAGTACTTTTAACAACATAATGAGGAGGTCTGTCAGAGGAAAGAATTCACATGAGACCAGCTTCCATTTTTCTTGCTCAAAGCCTCAGTACTCAAAACTGATGTCCTTGTCTGTACATTTTATTCTCTCTACATATTTTTAAATAGAAACAAGATTAAACTAAAAGGAGCTCATATACATATTTATCTTCCACCAAAGCATGAAGAAAACATCAAACATGCTTTTACAGCCAGACAAATTAAAAGGAAAAAATAAATATCTGCAAATTCTTGCAAACTCCCTATTACTATTCTCCCAATTGCTCATTATTAAACAGATCTGTATGCCAGGGGTGTAGGAGAGGAGCTCGCCTCTGGAGCCAGACTCCTTTCACTTTGTTCTTACCTTTCCCTAGAGGAGTTCTTCCTCTCTACAAACCAGGTTCTCTTGCCTGATTCCAGCCCCTTTGTGCTAGAGCCAGGCATTTTACTTTCCAGCATGTAGCAAATTTACCAATAAATAAATAGACAAATAAATAAAAATTTCCATAGGGGAGGCACCAAAACTTCATGGTTCAGGTCAAATTTAGCATATGGTTTCAGCCAGAAAAAAAATTCAGACCATCAAAACATTTTGTTTTAATACTTTTTCAACAAACTGTTTAGACATTTCATTACAAAACTACATACAAAACATTGCATTTAACCTGAACATTTTGTTCCTTTTTCGCAAGAAAAGAAAAAGTTTTTAAAAAATCAGTTTCAGTTTGACTAGCTTATTTTTCAACTGAACCAAAACAATTTAATATTTGCTCAGCTCTAATTGGTACTGCTAGAGCGGAGTAGAGGCCCAGCTCTTCTATGCTGTTTAGGTGTTTAAGTGGCTAGAATCTGGCTGCAGGTGCCCATTCAAAAGTGGCCATGATGAGAGAATGGGAACTCAGATGATATAAATGTGTTGAAACTGATTCCTATCCCAACCACCTCCAGGACATTTCAGGAGAAGAAGGTCAGAGTGCAGCTCTGCTTCTCCAATTCACAGGACACATAGCCAGCTGTCATAAGCTATTGCCTATTGGAGCCTGGAGGCTGCAATGCATGAAACAGAGCATGTATAACCCCTCAGCTGTGGATGGGACAGCATAATAGCTTTGCACCTGTAATAGTTACAGATAGCTTGAGAGGAGAGGCTCCTATTTCACTGCTTAAGAATTGTGTGAAATTCACTGTTGTTGCTTCACAAGCAACAGAACCATTTCACAAAAAGTTGTGACACTTTTCACGTCTGACATATAGGGGAAACCGAACATGTGGTTCAGCAGCTGACATCCTTTATTTTATCCAGGGATTAGAATAGGATCGCCATTTTTACTTGTAACTTTAGGATTGGAACCCAGCACCAGAAAGACACAATAAAAAAAAGAAAAAAACACAAACATCCCCACTTGACTGTCTGGGGCACCTAGTTTCCCTTCAGACCCTCCTTCCAGAAGCACACCCACACTGGCCAATGCAAAGAGCATCACATGGACAGTTATCTTTGAACATCACTATATTCTTCAAACAGAATCCCACTATGGTGAAGTAGGACAGGATCTCTTTCCACATCTGTAGCTTTATGTAGGAAGCCCTTCAAGACATCAGTAGCACTGCATAGGAGCAAATCATGGTTGACATCTGCCTCAGCCTGATAATTCCTTGTCCTTCTTTCATATTCAAGGATCCCCAGGATGACTTCTGACCCATAATCTGAGGTTTTCAGTGCTACCAGTCAGGAAGTTTTCTTTAGGTAGCAGCAGAAGTATCTGCTGAGGAGATGACCCCTTTGTTCCTCTAAAACATAAGTTTACTGAGGGTTTTAACATATGAGACGGCTTTAGAGGGATTGATTTTTTTCCTTGGTAAACTGCATTGCTTTTTAGATATTTACTTGCAGATTACCTGCTTGCCTCTGTCTCACCTGGGTGTTCCAAGGCTTCACTAACTGATGTTTGTTTAATGTTTCAGAGTCCTCACACAGAGGGAGCACTTACTGTTATTGATATTCATTACAGAACCTATTACACCTACCAAGTGAAATATCCACTTTTGCTATGAGCATTTAAGAAAATTATGGGGAAAAACCTGCATTTTCTGAGCTGGTGTGCTTCTGAGAAATCGCTGTGTTTCTGAGCAGAGTTTCAAAACTAATACACGGTAATACTTGTCACATAATATAGTTAGCAGTTGCTTTTATTACTTCAAGTCAGAGGGTGCTGCCATACCCCTAGGGTAGCACCCCTGCACTCCATATGTAAGCAATTGCAGAACTAGGGGCCTAGTGCAGCTATTGTGGCACAGAGGGGGCAA